CGGACATAAAAAAGTGGTATCGTGCCATCTCTATATATAGTATCAAACTAAAAGCCTTAAGACAACTTTTAGATGTGTGAGGGTCGCAGTCTTTAAAAGTTTAAAGTCTTCCAGTGTTTGGTAGCCATTGTATAACTTTTACTCTTGGTAAAAAAAAACACCACACTGTGGTCATTTTGTTAAAACAAATGGCCAAACAGTCAAGTGACTTTGCCATGCAGCTCAACAACTAATGAACTTTATCTAAAAACGCTAGATTTGTATGTTCTGTTCAGAATGTGTACATGTCTGTGTTTTATACTTATGTTTTATACTTACTTATAAAACTAATGAAGAGTCCCAGGTATTTAACCTCCTTGTGTCCTCACAGCTGTAGACCCACCCTAGTCATGTGAGTCGTTAAGGGTCACATGAGCCAAGGTGTGAATCGCAGCATGGGTCATTAATGACGGTTCACAGTGGACATAGATAACCATCACTGAACAGAGGCCTATGATACCAGCTATCAGTCACATATAACACAGTCTTGAGATCCCTTCTCAGGTATTTCAATCCCCCACTCACACCTTGACCCATGTGACCTTAATAACTCACATGATGGCAGGTTGAGCAACATCTCCTTGGCCCCTTTGATGGCCCTGAATCACTCCCTAGTTTGGGTGATTCTTAATGACTTGATTACAGGATGGGTCAGTGGCTCTTAGGACCCCTTTCAAGGGGTTAAATGCCTGGGACTCCATCATCTGAAACATCTTGGATGGGAGGTGAAAAATCTTCATGAGTCAAAAAGAAGTAGAGTTGTCTTTATTTCAAACGCTTGAGACCACCATGACCTGGATGACTAAGAATGTAGACCTAAGATTTAAGTTTGTGAGAAGGTGTAAAAGGCTGTTCAGTAAAAACAGACTCCATGAACAAATGAAAGGTGATAACGGGGCTTTACCTTTGCCTAGCTCTACAATTTGAGCAAGAGCAGGGATAATGGAGCAGAGCTTGGTTAAGAATGCATGGAAACGTGTGAGGGAAGGGATAAATGAGCACTGAAAAAAGAGCATGTTAGATTTACTTAATTCAATAGTGGACACTGGTTGCACACAGATGTTTTGCTTTGGCAGAAACTTAAACAACTGAGGTTTAAAAGTCAAAACAACTTATTCATATTCAATAAACCTGTGCATTTTGTGTTGATAAAACACGATTGAAACATGTTTAGATGAAGTAAGTTGAGCTCTTGGAATATTTTAATCCTTCACAATTTTGTCACTTGTGGATTTGAACCCAGGACCTTCTTGCTGTGGGGCAACAGCACTAACGACCACGCTACCAAGCCAGGATTAACAAAGTTTATCAAGGCTTGATGCAGAATTTTCAGTACAATTTTGTCCTTGACAGGTTAAACCACAATAAATAGCAATACCATATACGTTGTGTATGTAGTTTTCTGCCTCTTATACCTCCTGTGATTTCCCTGCAGTTTGTAATCTCGTGTAATCTTGTGAATTTCATAAGTCCAGCAACTAACCACTCGTACTAGACTGTATCATGTCATCTCAACGAGATCAAATTAAGTTGTTGAATTTCATACAGATCCTAAATGATTTGATTATTTTCACCATAGAAACATGAAACTATTTTGTTCAAATTACAAGTTAGACTTTTGTAAATGTAACAACCACCCATTTTCCTTTTTTTCGGTATCACGAAAAAAAGTAGAGGCCTTCCTCAAACCACAATCCACAGTGCGCAAGCCAAAATCCCGTGCAAGATTTAACATTGCTGTATTATTGACTTACTTCACTTGAACTTGATATGAACAATTTAATATACCTTCTCTCCATATCATGCAGTTTCTACACTATATAGTTACACTTAACTTTAAAGCACGAGGCGATTGTGTTAAATACACGCACGATGCTTACATAAATCCAAGAGATGGGCAATCCCTTTTTTTCAGTGAGGAGTAATGGGTTAAGGACACAGTTAGCATATATGGGAAGGACCTGGTTTAGATTGGAAGTAGGTGATTAACGGTTATGGGTTAGAGAGCACTAGACAAACATGAGGACTTAAAAAAAGGTGCAGACTCAGGAAAGATTAAAGTGGTTTCAGTCTCCTCAGTCCTTAGTTAAATCTCACCACCTGCAGTCTGGTTGTCTGGAGGTTGCAGTGACCAGAATGCATTCAGTAAACCTGATAAACTTCATGGTAAGGCTGTACAACTATTCCTGTATAAATGAGCTGGTGAGCTTATTATGATGTCGCCAGCAGGTTTATCATACTGAAGATTGACACCATTTTTTTTTTAACCAACCAGCTGATTCTTTTCTTAGTGATATGATGATATGTCATTACCTCACAATATTTCATATAACTGGAAGTATATATTCTAAAAAATGATCATGGAAAACAGTTTCTGAGCTCAGGACAACCACACAATCTTCACTATCGATTTATAATATTTTTATTGGTTCTTGTAAAGCTCTTGTTGACTACTATTGCTCCACCACTATTGCTTTAGTGTAGTGATTTGCTCAAAAAGTGAAAAAGAAAACCCAGTTTGGAATTACTGGAGCGTTTTCTGAGTTAAGTTATTCATACAAAACTCTAATCAAAAGAAGATGAATAAAAACTGAAATAATGACAGCGAGTCAGATTACTAAGAAGGCAAGGTCTATTTATACACTTTAGTCCTGGTGATAAATTATGGTATTTATAATACTGTTTGACCAACTGTTGAAAAGTGCACTGCCCTCAGTTATAGTGAGGAAGTGGCTCACTGGTAGGAATGAAATGAGTTACAGCAAGCGTGGGAGTAGCGTGTCACGGAAACCAATCACAGTGCCGAGTACAGTAGCAGATGTTCTTTCACACCAAAAGACACATTTCCTTCTGAGACACCTCCTGCCTCTGTGGTTACACATGAGGCAGAAAGTGTTGAAACTGTATGGAAGCAGTGAAGTTGAAATATGAACTGTTAAGAGAAAAGCAAAGAAAATGAAAAGCCATATACTCTCAACACAAAAGAAAAACAGTTTCCTTTTTATTTCTTAGGCTTAGATAAGACCCAAACAAACAATCTCATATCGCTGATAAATATTTGGCAGTGGCATTTATCTTTAATAACAGGAAACATTGCAGCGATGAAATGGAAAATGTCCTTTGCCAAAAACCCAGTGGGCTATACTGAAATGTATTTACAGGAACAAAACAAAGAAATACATCAGTGTCTTGAATATCTTCCTTCTGAAATAGTTCACAGTGGCACCTGTCCTCAATGAAGTTTCTGATTTCTGAAAGATAAATGCATATATATATCGAAGAGTACAGAACATTTATCACCAACCTCATCCCTGTCATATATTCTAAGCACTGATGTGCTCATTTTAAAATTTCTAATAAATAACTCGAAGCACGCTTGCAGAAGCCTTATGTTATTTCTAGCTCTGCAATAGAACTAAATTACAGTGCTAGACCTGTGATGTGTTTGTTTTGTCACTAAAATACTATTTTTAAGATAGTGATGTAAACCAAAGTGCTCTGGTATAGCCTTTTCCTCCAGTTCATGTCATAAAAGCACAGAATTTATGTTGCTTTCAAACCCTATGGGCTATTTTATTCAATCCGTTTCTACTAAAAGCCTTACCAACCAAAGCTGTAAAAGGCCATTTCTTGCAGCAGGGACATGAGCACAAGTCCATTTACTTAGGCTGAATTTTTAGCTACTTGAAACTGAACAGCTAGATGCTACTTTACGCACATCGCAGAGGAAATATATTGACCACCATGTTTTACAGCACGGTGGCACGGTGGTTAGCACTGTTGCCGCACAGCAAGAAGGTCCTGAGTACAATTCCTCCATCAGGCCGGGGTCTTTCTGTGTGGAGTTTGCATGTTCTCCCCATGTTTGCGTGGGTTCTCTCCGGGTACTCCGGCTTCCTCCCACCGTCCAAAGACATGCAGCTTGTGGGGATAGGTTAATTGATTAATCTAAATTGTCACTAGGTGTGAATGTGCGAGTGAATGCGAGTGTGAATGGTTGTCTGTCCCTATGTGTTAGCCCTGCGACAGACTGGCGACCTGTCCAGGGTGTACCCTGCCTTTCGCCCTATGACAGCTGGGATAGGCTCCAGCGCCCCCCGCGACCCTGAAAAGGATAAGCGGAAGCGAATGGATGGATGGATGGATGGACCATGTTTTACATCTCTGGATCTGTGAGGCATGTTTCATGCTATGTCCCCAGAGACTTAAATATATGATGTAGTATTATTACTTACTTGGTAATAATAAAAGGGGCACTTCTGCTGCATGAGTTGAAATGATATATTTATACTTGAAGCATATTGAAAAGTTCTAGAGATTATTACAAGTAATAGTTTGAAGGACTTTAATTTGTCCTCAGCATCTGAATACTAACAGCTGAGTACTCCTTTGACTGCA